TGTTTGTTTTTCTAGTGTGTGTTTTTTTGTTTGTTTGTGTTTGGGGGTTTTTTGTTTTTGTTTTTTTTTAAATTATTATCCTAGAACAGAAAACATCATGTTTTACCAATATGAAAAAGGATGTTATCATAACCTATTGTTTTCACTGGGTTAAAATTTCAAGCAATCTTCTTGAAATATTTTTTGTTTTTATTACTTTATTTTAAAGTATTTTTCTTGGAAATACTTAAGCAACAGTGCCATATGTAACTTTTTATCTTTTTTTGGTTTTGGTGTGAATTCTATTCATGTCTAATTCTAAACCATCTGCATACTGCTGATGTTTCTAATGAAGACTGTTCTGTGATGATATTAAGTGTTGTGGACTCATGCCATTTAAAAATATTTTTCTTTTTTGAATTCCTAAGCTCAATTTCCTATTCTTCTAGCTGCCAAAGTGTATATGTTAATGTTCCTCCTCTGTTGCACCTCACTTTGTCTTACCATTCCTGATTTTGTCTCTAGGCTCTCCTACTATTGTTTTACATTCATCTTTAATAGTAAGACCTAGATTGTTTTCCATGTACTTCCCTGTTTTAATTTGAGGTGAATAAAAAGCTTTTATGTAATTTCTTTGAGGAACTGGGACCCTAATTCCTCAATTATTTATGTTTTTTTAATTTCCTAAGTACCGAATGCATTTGTAGCAGGCATCTTTCTTTGAATTTGCCTTGTATTGAAGGTAATTTTCTTAATCCCTTTTGTGCAGCGTTCCAAAGGATCAGTCTACCATTCCTTGGTTGCTGTCACCTTTGGTTTCCCAGGTGATCCCTCCTTACATGTTAGCACCAAATCTAGCAAGCCTTCCTCATGTTCCTGTACCTTCCATGTCAGAAAGGATTTCTATTATCACCATCCCCAGGGCTATGTGCTGCTGTGCTTCCCTCCCTTGGTGACATGGCTGGTTCTCCATTCTCTAAAACGGAGAGCAGAGCTTTGTGTACTGCGGCTGGGAAAACCATCAGATTGTCATCAAAACTTGGAAAGCCAACAAATTCCTCAGAAACCCTGGGTGGTTTTCTGATGCTCACTGCTGAAAGTCCTCCTTTTGGTGACTTAAAGGAAGCTGAGTTGAGAGAGAGAGAGAAAACGGTGCTGTGGGATATACAGATCATAGCAGCAGATAAAAACTGTTTGGAGATATCGTGCTACCTTGCTGTATTGAGTGCTGTGTACTTAGCATTCACTTATTCTCCCTTTGTAAGTGGTAACTTAATATTCAAACCTTTAGCCAACTAAATCCATTGTAGTGAAGCTGAATATTTGTGACAAGTAAGTGAAAGTCTATTCTCAAAGCATGAACACAAACTTTCCTTGCATTCAGTGTAAATGCCTATGTAAAGTGAAGGCAACACTGGTCAGCGGTGCCAATTTGAGGGCTTTAAAGCTGGAGATCTCTGTCCTTAGGGCAAATCAAGTGGGAACTTCTGATGCAAAGTCCTTGGCTTAACAGTTCAGCTCTGCACAGGGCTGAGAACTTCAGATAGCCTGAGCTGGCTACAGTACAGCAAATAGTTCAGTCTGTGGCAGCACAGAGCAGTTCCATGAGATTTTTTTAACCTAATTTCTTATAGTTAGGTACACTGAACTTCAGTGAAGAATAAAATGAAAATATGCCTTCTGGTCAGAGTTCATTTGCTGTACTTTGTAAAGAGTATATCTCTGGCAAACTGCCTAAAAACTTCCCTCAATTTAGATTGTGCTTCAGGCTGTGCTTAGGAAGTTGTGTGGGATGGTGTTCAAGTAGGGTTTACTTCCATTAACTTTATGATGCTATTTGAGACCTCGTATGAAACTCCACTTTATTCTTAGTCAATGCCTCACCCTTACCTGGACATTTTTTTCACTGCAACCTCCGTGCTGCACTGCTGGTGATGGTGCTACCCCACGTGCACCCTGCAGCACAACCCAGATGTGAGGGGTGGGACTGGGGTGTACCCTGGACAACTGGGGACAAAGATTCCTACTGCTCATCTACTGCACATTGATTTCCACAAGTTTTGACAGAGAGCTTGGCAGCAGCTGAGGAAGTGGAAGGTAATCAGGGAAAACTGAGAAGAAAAAATGTCAGATTTTTAATACCTGGAAACCTATAGTAGTGCTAAGCACAATCTCTTTTGACATAATGAAGGACCAAAAATTGGGTAATCCAAATTAATTCCATACCTTTTTCCCTGCTTCTGGTTGGCTAATAGGATGATTCAACCCTGATTTGAAGTATGGGCCATTTTATATGATATGTTATTGAAAAACGGTGATAATCTGAAAGATGGGATTACCTAGTATGGAATGTTTTTGTCTTCCTGAATGGAAGCTCATAATTATGACAGTAACATTGGGAATTATTTAAAAATTTTGGTCATTAAATACTGTTTTCATTATGAGCCACTATACATATATATATATGCACCATTGATAATTGCTACCATTATATGTGTCTGAGGTCAACAGTTCCTGTTCACAAAGTGTTTCTGAGGGGAGATGGAGCCTTTCAGAAGGCATTTCTGACTCCTTTTTCCTAGAAGCCCCTTCTGAAAGCCATCATCAAGGGGCAGCTGAGGAAATTGGTTAACTGGGTGTGTTAACCTTTTGCTGGCCAGTTTCTGCTGAAGGGTCTGTGGATTGTTCACAGTGGTCTGATTTGCTTTAGGAACAGAAGGGACTGACTTTCTGTTTTAAATTAACTTATCCCAGACTCGGTGTCTATTTTGTTTTTCACTATGGTAATTAATTTTTGCATTCTGTGAGCATACCATTTCCATGCTGTGTCCTACACACGTTTGCTGCCACATGCTGGCTGCTTTGGGTCTCTTCTTATGCACAAGAAGCTGAAATAACCCTTTTTCTGCAGGATCTTCTTAGTTAGCCACCACCACCGTGCTGTCCCTGGCCAGCCTCAATCCTCTTTTGTTTTCTAGAATTGGCTTCAGAGGATTTTTGGGACTGGGGAGTGTGGGGTTGGTGATGGTGCCAGCACTGCAGGTGAGAACTGATGGGCCTCAGGGCCAGACCTGTTGTCAGTGTTCCGGACACCTGTGAAGAGTGGGAGGTGTGTTACATAACAGGACAGTGACTTAAGGTTCTTTTTATCATGGATCTACGTATTTGTGGTCAAGGCTGAGCAAGTAGGCAGTAATGAGAACCTTGATGATGAAGCAAAAGCGTGGAAGTGTGTAGCATTGCTTGGTAAGGAGGGGTATTGATGTGAGGAGTAAATATCCTTGCTTCTGGACTGTAAGTTCAAGCAGATGGTATTTGTACACTGCCTTTAATTGTGCCTTTATCACAGCCAGTGAAACCTCAACAGGAGAATAGGGAGCCAAGTAAAGGTCTGTGCTGTGAGGATGGCCTGTGCCCACAAATAATGCTTTCAGCTTTTGAGTGGTGGCAGAAGCACTCTCCATTTGTGTTTTCTTCTTTGTGATGCACAGAGACCAGAAAGGTTATGATCATTTTATGGATTGTGGGTTTAATGAAAGCTTTGATAAACCTGGTCTTTTTTATCCTTACTTTAAGCTGACTTTCAGTCATTTTTTGTTTGAAAAGCACATCTGCATTAAAAACCTGTTACAGGGGAACAAACCTGTACTTTTAGGTGGTTTGTTTCAAGTCGAATCTGGACACAGCTGCAATGCTTAAAGGGTGGGTTTGAAGCTAAATTAAACATGGTATTCTTTCACATCGTTCTCGTTTTCTTGACCTGCCATGCAGTAAAAGGGAGACACAAGAATGACTATGCCTAGGCACAGCACAGAAGAAAATACTCTGATCTCATCATCATCTCCATTTTACTAATATATCCTGAGCACAGTACTGACAAACTTCTATTTATCTGGTTCCTAATTCCCCTTTGAAATGTGTTACATGCCAAAGTTTATCTGGAGTCTCCAATGCCTCATTTTAGGTCCAAACAGACATTAATTAGAAACATTAAGCTCTCTGCTGCTCCTAAGCTTTTCATGCATCACAGCTGGAGTTTGTTTGTATTGCAAATCAATGCCAAACAAGGCACACCCAAGTGCAGGCTTTTGCACAATCAAAATCTTTAATAAACAAAGTGAGGTTAAGCCTGTTCTTTATTAAAGAAAAAAAAAAAAAGGAAAAAAAAGAAGGAGGGGGAAAATATTTTCAGTCGTGAAATCCTGCAGGTTTGTTTGTTTGGGTTTTGTTGTTTTTAATTTAATGATGTTTTGGAGACAGAATTCCTGTTTTTATGAAGACAAAAGTTGAAAAGATTGCTCTTTTCTGTTGTCCTGCTTTTGTTCTGCTGCTGGCCCTCTTTCCCTTCTTTGCTCACTGTTTTCACTTTCACTTTCCGTGCTATTTTAAATTTGTGCTCTTTCTGATTGTACTGAAAGTCTGTTTCCTAATTCATCCCATTTTCTAAGTCTTTGGTTGGTTATACTTTTCCTTGTTTTAAGGCTATTGAGGCAAGGATAGTAACATTTACCTCATGGATATCCTCTCCATATTTATCACCCTACTGTTCTGGTTTTATTTGGTCTGGTTTTTAGTATACCGTGTAACAAATTAAACCCAGGACTTTTAGCTTTCTCAGCATTTCAGTTTGCACTTGTGTTGTGTTTGTTTGCTGAAGTTGTTCTCATACAGTAGCTGTAGATATTTTGGTTAGGAAAGAACTGTGGAGTGCTAGTTACAGATTATTTAGGAGCTCCCCTGGTGAGCCAGGGTCCATATGGTGTTTTGGCTTGGTCTGCCATAAAATTACTCCTGATTATTATTTAGTGCCTTCTCCCAGCCTCAGCTTCTGGATAATAACAAAGGTCTAATTATTAATAATTGATATTATTAATTATAATTAATAATTGTGAGGGTAATTTGATTTAATAATTGGGAATTGTCAGGGAAGGCTTGTACATCTAGGCTGCTGGCTAATTTTATCAGAAATGTTTGGTGGGGAAGGAACAAATACCTGCTTTTGTAGTTTTCAAAAGTCTATATAAATCTTGCCTCCATGGTGAAATGTGGCAGAAGTAGGGGGTTTTACTGTGTCAGATGTGTTTGCTGGCCACCATGCTCCTAACCACACCCCTAATTGCACTGTGGGTTTATGTCTAATCTGGAAGGTATTTTACCTGACTGCTTGATCTGAAGTGTTTCAGCTACTCTTGGGCAATACGCCCACATTATTTATTGCAGATGGGACCAGTGTGTGGTGCTATTCCAGCCTGTGCTTTTGGTGCTGAGGTGACCTTGAGCAGACTGGCAGGTGCAGTCTCCTTTAATTACCTTTCTTCAGACAGTGTAATGATCAGCTTTCTAAGGGTCAAAGTTAGTCTGATGTAAGAGGGAGGCAGATCTCACTTCTCTACACATTTGTGGGTTTTTAATTCAATAAGTGGTTTGTTTTGATGAACAGACAAAAGAAAAAGACCAAGGCAATGTTAGGATAGCAAAATCTGAGTTCCACATAAAAAATTACACTGGACGTGGTTTTGCTCATGTCCCATCCAAGTGAGGACCAGTTGTGCAGATCAGCAACATCTGCTTTGTTGAACTGGACTGATGCCTGTCTAACCTGCGACATCACCAGTGCTGATGATTTCATAACATCCCTGCTCCATCTATTCTCCTACATAGGGGAATGTGCATTTATTAAATTAATGAGTGGTTATTGATTAATAATATTAGTGACTCCACTGTAACCTCCTCTTGGGTTTTGTGAAGACATGGAGAAGGTAAGCAGATGGTGGTGGTGCCATGCTCAGGCAGTGCTTATCTCTTGTAGGTGCACCCTGCAGTCCCCAGGGATGGGTGCATGCAGGTGGCCTGACTGTGGTGCTCACAGCTGTCAGTACTGAAAAGAGGAGGTTGAATCTGCACTGGCCCATGATTTTAGATGCTTACTGCTTTCTGAATGTAATATTGAGGGACAGTAATGATTAACCTTGCAGCCTGTCGTGGAGCTTATGTTCTGGAGGCAGATAGACAACATATGCAAACACTTGTTCCTTGTCAGCATAATAGCAATAATGGGATTATAATGTCAGCAATGCTAATTGAAATTAAAACAAAGCCAGGTGTACAAAATACAATACAATAATCTAGAGCCAATTAAGCTTCATTGTAAACTGTCAATGAATTTAGCTGCAAATTATTCAAAACCTCAAATTATGTGACAGTGGGATTAGTTTGTTTGCATTAGTATATCACTGTGCATATCAGGCTGGTGTGGATAGACTAGTTTTTTTCTGAAAAAACAAGCAGCACTTTCCTAAATTAGTCTTCGGTTGTTGATTTGTACCTCTTGAATGAGACCCATCATTTTTTCAGGATGTTGAAAAATATGTATCACCTCCTTGTCAATTTTTCACACTGTCTAATTTTTTCTTTGATCGGATTGTTTATATTCAGACTAATTGTCATTCCTAGGTTGTACTGGATGTATAGGGGAAGAAAAATGGGAGACAGTAATCCATAACCTATAAATGAGATTTATCTCATATAAGACTTGAGATTTGAAATATACTGCTACTGTGGGATACTGAGTTTCTGACAGTTCTTGCTCTTTCTTTTATATAAATTTATTTATATAAATTGTCACCTTTCTGGTCCAGGTGCTAACTCAGTCAACTGAAATAGTGCTACAGGACAAACCTATCTTCATTCCAGTGTTTCAAGTTTAGCAGCATCATGCTTCTGTCTCAGTCTCCCTGACAGTTCATAAGGATTCAAACCTTTCAAAGTGGAGGGAGGATGACAGCTGTGACTCATGGCCAGTGTATCTTGACATTTACCCTTGTGAGGAGATTTTTGTGACTCATTTGAGAACAGCCTGAGTTGCCTGATGTGCAATCACTCTACCTCTGAGAGTGAACCTCATCCTTCTCAAAATAGGTTTCTTTACAAATTGTTCCTGTGAGAAGTGCCTCAGTGCTTGGGTGACTCAACAATGAAAATAGCAGTGGGGTACAGAGCCCGCTCAACAGTAAGTGCCATAAAGACTGAGCGTCTCTCTGCTGATGTTCTGCCTCATATTATTGCAAGGAAAGAGCTCCCTTGAGAAAACTCAAGGAGACACCAAAACTATTACTTCTCAAAAATACATGAGCGGCAGCTGCTCACCAATAGATTTATCTAGACCACAATACTTGTCATTACTTCAGAGTATCAACATGTCACAGTGAGCAAAATAAGAACAACTCATCTTTCCAAAGATATGTCAGGAACAGAAGAACTCACCCTTAAATGAGCACCTCTCACACTGAAGGTCAGCCTGATGAGCATAAGTCATACAAGAGGTGAAACAGAGCTCTTCCTCATGTTGACATGGGACAATTTTTATCATTACAGCAAAACAAATCTGTTATGATGAAGCAGCGTTGGTGCTAGGCAGTTGTTTGGGCTAGTGGTCATTGCAACCACCTAATGCTGTTTTTACCTTGTTCAAATCCTGCAGTTCTATTTCCCCCTCCTCCCCTAAATGTATTTGATTTGACCTCAGGCTCCTGCTTGCTACAGTCTTCTAGGCTTCTGTCTCTTTGCTTATGAATCAAGTTCCATCACAAATACCTGCAGTTTTAATGCTGTGATGGTAGCACTCCTGACATGTTGTTATAGCAACAGTGCATACTGTACATCTCAGAATATCCCACCTTATATCACTGAAATGAAATATTTCATGCTCTATCAGGTACATGAAATCTGTGGTGTTTTAAAGGATATGTTGTATCATCTATGCCTTTCTTAGATAACAGCTCCATTTCCTTGCACTTGCTCTACACTTCCTGGGTTTCTAATCATCCATAACATTTGTCCCAGAAACACTGTCAGTGCTGATGTATCCCTTTTGTAGTGGAGCGAGCAGAAATGCGTGTGTGCGCCTATGGCAAAGAGCGGACAATCCATTTATACAGGGGCAGCAAAGGAGCCACTGTCTCCTGGAATAAATGTATGTAACAAAATAAATTAATGTTTGGAATTGAAATTGGGTGAGACCCCGAGAAAAGTAAGCTTATTTCAGGGGAGGATGTGTTACATGGCCCAGAGTTCACCATGTACTGTGAATTACTGGGATGAAACAGAAGTGATAGCAGGACCTCCAGTGCTCTGAAGGGGGAAGATAAGAGGAGGTCATACTGGTCCTTCCTGATTCTTCCCTGTCCTACCTTGAGCGACCTGAGGATTTATCTCTGCTTAAAACCTCTTTTTCCTCCTGCAGCTGTCTAAGTCTCCTGGCTGTCAATCCCTACTCTGCTCAGCCCAACACAGCCCTCTGCTGTAAGCGAGTGGGAAGCCTCACAGCCTGGCTTCAGCTCATCTGCACGAGCCCGATTTTCAGACACAATTTTTAGGGATGTTGCCCACATACTTTTCTTTTTTTTTTTTTTAACTGCAGGCTGGTATGTTGTGTTTGCATATTAGTCCAACGCTACAAATGTTTCTCTTGGTTTGAAAATAAAAAAATCCATCGATTCTCTCAAAAATTTCAGAGATAAGAGTTGTCCCTGCTTCACCCCACCAAGAACCTCTGCAAGCGGACCCTCAGCCCACACTTGTGTGAGCACATGTGAAGGACAACTCTTGCATGGGGGCTGTTTTTACAGGTTCTATCAAAGAATTCTTGGGGAAAGGAGCTGGAGCTGCAAATGGTGTATTTCCATTTATGGATAAAGTGACTTGAATTGCTGAAATTTTTGGCAGATGACACCAGTGGCCTTCTCAATAGTTTTACTATTGACAATAGACGGTGCTATTAAGTACAATGAATTTACAAAGCCTTAATTTGTGTCTGCTTCTGCATGTTCACTGTTGAGGGGTGATCCCCACTGTGTGTTTACAGGAATTTGCTGTAGCCTGTTTCACTTGGTGCCATACGAAGACCTCTTCTCTCTGGTGGAAAAGTATAAAAGTATGATGCCTGGATAAGTTAATAGTCTAGAAGGCTTTGAGTCCTTTGAAAAGTTCATGGATGAATACCTCCTGCATATGTTCTGCTTTTGCATGCTTGTAACACAGAGTTAGAAATCCGTAGCAAAGCAGGGGATGGACTAGATGACGTGCAAAGGGTCCCAATCAACCTCAGCACCTCTTTGTGTAAGAGGCATATTGCTAAAATCGACATAAAGTGATTGGGGGCGAGAGGAATCTCATATACATGCAGACCTGGGGGAGGAGAGCGAAATCAAAAAGAACTGAAAGTTCCCTTTTGTGTTGTGTGTGTTGCTTACATTGATGTTATTAAACCAACCAATGTGTGCTCCTTGCGGAAATGAGTGCAGAACAGGAGACCCTGTTGTTAGAAAGAAATGAAGGGCTGGTTTCCAGCAAGGCACATACATAACAGTGCTTTCCCCTCTCCTGAATAGCACATACTACTGTGCTTTCTTCCTAGTGCCTGTTTGAGGTGTACTGAACTCTTCTGTAATTCGCTTCAACTCGATATCTTTGAAAGGTCACATCAACAGCAGGCAGTTGTGTGAAACAGTTCTGTGAAGGTTTTGCATAGGATCAGCAGGGGTATTTCAGGCTGGACTGAAGTGTTTGTAGGAATCTGCTTACAAGTTTATGTGGAATTTATTTATGTCATTCTAGTGCTAGTATTTTTGCTTTCACAAGCATTGCAATTAAAAAAAAAAGGAAAAAGTGTAAGTTAAAAAGACTGTCACAAAAACTTCTGCAAAATAGGGAATATAAAAATCTTGAATTATTTGCTACCTGGGTAGTAAGTATGTACTTTCCTCATCATGGGCTTTGTTAGACAGAAGGCTGTAATAGCATGCAGTGTTTTCTCTCTGAATGATGCATGACAGTGTGGTCTGAGCAGCAGTGTGCAGGCTGCATGGGCCCCATGCACACTTCTGCCTGTTCTGTTGCTCAGACACTGCCCACAAAGCCAGACTCCTCTTCTGGCACACACCCAGGCTACAGCTTCATGTGCCACCTCTCCCAGTATGAGTGGTCAGGAGGTAGATGCTTCCACATCCTCTGCAAAGTGCTGTTGATGCATTTCCCAGTAGTGGGGTAAATGCTGGAGCATCTCACAGGCTCTGTGAGGCTGTGTCTGAGGGAGGGAGAAGGTGCAGTGTTAAGATGCTGCTTGTGGCTGTAGGTGTGTGTGAGTCATGAAGACGTGTTTGTGTCTGAGGAAGGAGTTGTGGTTACAGGATCATTGCAGGGACAGCCTGGAGCCACCTCTGCAGTGAGAAGAACTTGGCAGAGGCAGTACCCTGACTATTCCAGCAGTGTAGCAGAGCTCTTGGACTAGAA